ATTTTTAAACATCTTCAACAGTCTTCAAAATTTAATATGTTTGCCTCATTCCAACAATAGTGTAAGTTAAACAAACATGTAAATTAGACAATTTAAGTTAAATATGAGATAGATCATCTCCCTTTGTTTTTTCTCAACGTAACAGTTGTGAGACCTGCCTGGGACACCCAGGTGACTTAGCCACACATTGTCATGTTACTGCAGTTAAAGCTTCCCGCATGGCCACCAGTGTGCTGAGAGGACCTTTGACAGATTCTGCAATTCAGTCCTTAGCCCTCTAGGAAGCGGCTGGTCTATTAAATAAAAATTACAACTAACTAGCTAGCTGGTGCTAATTTTCTTGGTTTTATAGCTTGGTTAAGTATTTTCTTGGGGTTTGTTTTTTTTTTTGTCTTTATTTCTTCGCAAGTACGCATCACTGACTCTGCCTGTTTTGTGAAACCACCAATTCCTGCAAGTGCTCTGTAGCATAACGAGGTTATGTTGTACACATTTCTATTTCTGACCTGCTGAGTGAATGAAGTCCTCTCCGGCACCTGACTGACCGCTCTCCACAGCTGACGTTTAGATGACTTTGGACTATATACTGTATTAGGTAGAAATGTCGCAAGATGAAATCCTATTACCTGTAACTTCCCACCAACATTTTCACACTCAATAGCTAATCTCGTATTTTTCAAATGGCTTTATTAGGATCTAATTCACATGCCATCCAATTCACCCATTAAAAGTGTATAGCTCAGAGGCTCTCCGTTGGTTACATCTGCTGGATTCGGGACTCCCTGAGGGACACTGTCTCAGGCATTCCTTCTCTTATCCATTCACTAAACATTTACTGAGCAGCCACTGAGTACTGGGATACAGTGGTAAACAGGACAGACAGCCTTGGCCCCTATGGTCTGGTGGGGGTGGGAAGTACTTTCTTTTTTTTTTTTTGAGTTGGAGTCTCACTCTGTCACCCAGGCTGGAGTGCAGTGGCATGCTCATGGCCACCACAGCCTCGATCTGCTGGACTCAGGCGATCCTTCCACCTTAGCCTTCCAAGTAGCTGGAACCACAGGCACGCATCACTACACCCAGCTAATTTTTTTTTTTTTAATTGTAGAGATGAGATCTCACCAAGTTGCCCAGGCTGGTCTCTAACCCGTGGTCTCAGGCAATCCTCTCACCTTGGCCTCCCAAAGTGCTGGACTATAGGTATGAGCCACTGCGCCCAACCCGGGAAGTACTTACTAACAGTAGTCATTGTTACTGAGCACTTATGTGTGCTACTTCTGGGTGATTGTGTCCAGGGCTGGGGGGCTGGATCAGTAGTTACCAGCTGAACTGAGCTGATGCACAGTGAAAGTTCATCCGAACCCCTGTGCCATAGAGATCCAACAAGGGGATCTGTTTAATGCTTTGTCACCTGGTACACTCAGCTGTCACCAGGGACCTCCAAAATCCCACTCTTCCTCAGCCTCAGGAACTGAAGGCCATGTCTTGACTGTGGCTTCAAAAAAACCCCCAGGTTTGAGAAGTAGTTAGTGGGAGGGCCTGGGGTGGAGTGCTGAGGATGGGGCTGGACGGTTGCTGAGGAATGCACCGTGCTGGCTTCCAGCTTCTGACCCCGCCCCGCCCCAGACTTGGGGAAGTGAAGTGATGCATTTACGCAACACCTGGCCAGACCCTGTGCAGGGCACTTCCTATATGGTGTCATGCAGTAGCTAAAATATAACCCACCACGCAGGGATTCTTGGGGTGACTGGCCCAGCCTCTTGCTCCGTAAGCATTCCAAGGGACACCCTCCAGTGCAGGGTGAAGGCCAAGTGTGGTTGCACGTCTTTGGCTGGGCCTGAGCCAAGTGGAAATGCCTACTTCGTGCCAGAGGAAGGATCTAAGGTGCAGGTGTCTGCAGGGCCCGCCTGGCGATGAGCATCCACCAACCTCCACCACAGCTTCACAGCAAGGGGCAGAGAGAAAGGACAGCCGAGACTTTCAGCTCAGTGATCCAGCCCACCAGCCAGCAAGACCCCATCGGTGTGGTGGAATCTGCTCATCAGACCAGCCTTCTCTTTGTGGGGCACCTGGGGAGGTCCCAAGTGAGGGTGGCCATAATTTGTTGACCAGGCACGTGGGCCAGGTGCTGGCACTTAAGCCCAATGGCCCACCTCGTGCCATCACTGCAGTGATGTCCCATGGCAAGCAGCGTTAATGGCAGTCCCATGGGGTGAAGACACTGAGGCCAAGACTGTCTGCCCAGGGCCCGGGGCACACCCATTGCAGGGGCATGCCTGGAACTCAGGAAGTGTCCCCTGCACTCTCGTCAGCAGGGCTCTAAGGACCCAGGCCACCAGGTTCTTCTGGCCCCACCAGTCTGAATCCCACTTGGGGCAGTGGAATGAGGTCTCCAAGAAAGGTCTGGATGAGCTGCAGGCTAGGTGCTCCCTGGATGGAGGAATTGGATCTCCTCCATTGGACAGGGTGTTCCCCAGGGGCGGGGGCCCGTCTGCCCCATAAGACTGGGGTCTTCCTGGGGAGGAACAGTAGCATTTGGCTCTCACCCCAGCAGAGTGTTGCCCAGGGGGAATGATGTCACCTGTCGGAGGAGGGCTTCCTGAGGTGGTTACCCTGTCTCTCTTCCCCACCCAGCTCCATTCAGGCCTGCACTGGGGTTCACGCTGCCATGCTGAGCCCCCAGGTCTTCAGGCTGGAAAGGCCCCCAGTAACTGGCATTGAACCAGGCCCCAGCCCCGGGTGGAGCCGGACATCCGGCTGGCAAAGGGTAACCGGACCAGAGCCACCTGGGGTCTGGGGCACCTCGCCCTGCCATCCAGGCAAGGTCAGGGACTCATGGAGTCTGCTCAGCATAGTGGGAAGGGAGCCTGAGCCAGGCAGGGTATGGGCTGCTCCTAGGGTGAGACCAGACCCCAGCAGGAAAGGAGGAGGGGATTTTGGGCCCCCGATTTGGCCAGTGTTGGGGTGGCCCCACAGCTGAAGGACACAACGTGTATCTAACAGCTGCCACTCCTAGCTGGGCAGTTGCTTAATTCCTCTAAGCCTCTTTCCCCATCTGTAAAATGGCCATGATAATCCCGTCTCAGTGGGGGCTGTGAGGACAGATGAGACAGAGCACTGAAGGCAGGTGGCATGGCCAAGTCCCTGCACAGCAAGTGTGCAACTGACATGAGTGCAGGCCAGAGGACCCCCAGGACAGTGGGGCTGGGGGAGCTGGCCCTACCTGCCATTGCCCACCTCAATCTCTGAGGCGCCCTTGCCTGGTCTCCCCAGACCCCAATTCTCTCCTCCTTGCCACCATCCGAGGCTAAACCCAGTCGCCTGCCGACGAGCTGTGCTGGGCCTGTCCCAGGACCTTGCCCTCGTCATCAGCCTTGGCCTGGCTTTCAAGGCTCTTGGTAAGTAGCCCCACCTCGAAAGCAGCCCAGTCCCCCACCTCCAGGCCCTGTCCCGTACCTGTCTGTACCTGTCCTTTCTTTTTGCTGAATCGCCCTCCCCTCTGCCACCAAGATCTAACTCAAAGGCCACTTCTCCGAGAAGGCCCTTTCTACCTTCTGGTCACAGCAACCATCTCCGCTCCTTGAGGGCAGAGACCAAAGCTGTTTCCCCCACAGCCCAGACATCCAACACAGCGCAGGGCTGCGCTCACCAAACATCTACAGCGCCAAAATGGGCCGCAGTGCCCCGTCCTTTCTCTGGGCTGGGAAGAGAGACCAAAAGGCTTGTTCTGAGGCACAGCTGCTCTCCCCAAGACCAGCCTGCAAGGTGGCTGGCTTGGAGGTCCCAGGGTCTGGTTTCTGGACATAGGATAGGGTGTGGGGGGTGAGATCAGGTCAGCAAGAAGGAAAGCCAGCCCCTCTGTTCCCCAGGAACCCCCAGAGTCATGACCAACAGAAAGGGGGGATCAGAACAGCGTCTGTAGCTGGGCGTAGTGTGCATGCACCTGTCATCCTAGCTAGTTGGAAGGCTGAGGTTGGATTGCTTGAGCCCATGAGTTGGAGGCTGCAGTGAGCCATGACTGCACCACTGTACTCAGCCTGGGTGACAAAGCAAGACCCCCAACTCAAAAATTAAAACAAGAACAGGGTCTGAAAACACTAAGGTTGGGGCTCAGGAAGTGCAGTTCAGGGCTCAGCTCTGCCCACCTCTCCACCCTCCCGCCTTGCTCCTGTATCTGCCTCCTCTTCCCCTCACCCACAACCCGCTCCATCTTTCCCTTCATTATCTCCCATTTATCTTTCTTGCCTGTCACCTCCTCCAGGAAGCTTTCCCTGGTTGTCCATCTTCTCCAACTAAAAATCATCAAAACTAACCTCTATTGAGCCCTTCCTATGAGCCAGACTTTGGGGCTAAACTCTAAGACATCACCATCTTATTTAATCCTTAAAAGGACACATGAAGTTGTTGTCATACCACTTCACAGATGAGGTATCCTAGGCACTGAGGAGTTAAGATGCAGAGCCCAGACCTCAGCCTTAACCATCCTGCTTCTTCCTGAGCATTGCAGGGCAGGGACCCCGGTGGTATGTCCTTCTTGCTGCTGTGTGGCCACCACCAGGGGTGGGGCCTGTCACAGGGAACAGAAGAGCTGGCTTAAAAAACCAGAGGCCCTGGGAAGCTGGGCCGGAGCTGCAGGGGACACAGTACCACCTGCGTGGCTCATCTCAGACCCCCATCCAGCGCTGTTCCCCAGAGCACCTTGGGGAAGGGGCAAGAGAAACAGGCCTCATCGGGAGGTACCATTTACTAGGTTGTCCGATCAACAGGACAGTCCTGGTCCACTAGGCTGCAGCCGGGGCCCCCCCAGCGGTGAGCAGGCAGAATGAGGTAGGTGGGCAGGAGGGGCGGCCACACTTGCCTCCTGAAAGGCCCGAGGTCTCAGCTGCAGCTCCTCGCTCGAGGCTCCCGGGGCAGCTGCGCGGACCCTGGGAGGTGTGTTCGAGGGTGGCGGGCTGGCCCAGGAGGATCCGGAGGCACGTGGGGGCAGCGGGGCTGGGGGTTCCAGGCCTCCTGTGGGCTCATCTGGGGCAGCAGCACCGTCACTGCCACACCTCTCGCTTCCTGGGTGCGACATCGGGAGGTCTCTGTCGTCCTGGGCTCGACACTGGTCAGCTGGGGAGGAGGGGCTCGAGCTCTGAGGCGGCGCTGTGCCTGTACACCAGGAACTGGACAGAGATCTGGAGGGGTCGCGGTCAAGGCCAAAGCAAGCAGAGCCTGGGACAGACCCACCCTGGGGCTGGGGGCTCCCTCCGGAGCTGCTGCCCCCATTCCCCCTGCACCCCAGCTGGTGGGAAGGGCCAGCCGCCACCTCCCGCCTGTGCCCTCTACGCTGAATGCCTTCCCCACTCCCCAAGCCCAGCCAGACTTGCAACTGGGGGACTTTCTCCTCCCTTGGTAGCCTCCCTTGACCCCGCCCAGGAGCTTTCTCTCACCCAGGGGCATTCTGGTTGTTCACCTAGCGGCTGGGCCATTTGGGGGCACTAAGAGCTTAAGCTTTTTTTTTTTTTTAATTGGAGCCTCACTCTGTTGCCCAGACTGGAGTACAGTGGCACGCTCACGGCCACCACAGCCTCATCCTGCTGGGCTCAGGGAGTCCTCCCTCCACAGCCTTCCAACTAGCTAGAACCAAAGGTGCACACCACCATGCCTGGCTAATTTTTTTTTAATTTATTGTAGAGACGGAGGTCTCACCAAGTTGCCCAGGCTGGTCTCAAACCCCTGGACTCAGGCAATCCTCTCACCTCTGCCTCCCAAAGTGCTGGGATTACAGGCGTGAGCCACCATGCCCAGCTAAGCTTAAGCTTTTATCTCTCACTGCACCCAGCAGGGTCTCAGAAAATGTTGAAACCTGGGCCACATTTATTCCTCCCAAATGACCCAAACAGTGCCCTGTTCTGCCCTCACTGAGTGCTCAGTCAGGAGGGGAATGGCTCCAGGCACCTTAGCTGACACAATCACCCCACTACTCTGATGAGATAGCAATTGTTAACAGACACAGACAACACAGAAGCACAGAAAGGCTGACAGTTTGCCCTATGTCACACAGCCAGGAAGCAAGGGAGGAGCCAGGATTTGAACCCAGGTTTTTCTGACTCCAACTCATATATCCATATTCCAGCTTGCATTCTCACAGCCTGGATGAACTGATTCTTTTCTACACCTCGGGGCCTTTGCACAAGCTGCAAAGGCCTTTGCCTAAATAACTTCTTCAGGCACAGTTTTGTTTTGTTTTAAGAGATAGGGTCTCCCTATGTTGCCCAGGTTGGTTTTGACCTCCTGGCCTCAAGCAATCCTCCTGCCTTGGCCTCCAAGCTGTTGGGATTATGGGTGTGAGCCACCACCCCTAGCCCTCTGACGACAGTTTGAATGACACTTGTGGAGACCTTGGTTGACCCTCCAACCAGGACAGCCCTTGGTTATACACTCTCGCCATGTTTCTCTGCAGCGCTTGGTGCCACTGCAACGAAGTCATTATTTGATCATTCCGTGTGTCCTGTCTGCCTCCCCACTGGGCTGTAAGCTTCTGAGGCAAGGGCCATTCTGCTCGTGCTCACTAAGGAATCTAGCACCTGGTTGGGTGCCCAGCTCACAGGAGGTGTGCAAGCCTAGAGGGAAGGAGCGGGGAGAGGAGAGGGGAGAGATGGATGGAGGGGAGGGAGGGATGGTCGGAGGGATGGGTAGAGGGAGGAGGCTGAGGTCGTGTGCATCCCACGCAACCGGCCCGCCCGCCCCGTGTCCCCAAAGGATACGATGGTGTCGAGCAGCAGCACGCCCAGGCTGCCCACGAGCCAGGGCAGGTGGTGCAGCAGGTAGCTGCCCTCGCTCTGGCCCACCTCGGGGTTTTTGAGCAGCACACTCAGCCCGTACAACGTGTTCCCCAGCATCACCAAGGCAAACAGCGAGTAGGAGATCCCCTGGGTGGACTTCCGGAGGAACTGGGGGAGGAGAGGGTGGGTCAGAGACCTCACACGGGTCTCTCGTCCCTGTTCACTCGGTTGCCTGTCCTGTCGTGGCGTGACTGTTCGGAGCTGATGTTTCCCTGTGTGTCCAGCATCGTCCGACGTGGGTCTGGCACACAGCCCAGGCCCGGCCAGGACTCTGACAGCCAACCTCTCCTGGCCCCTGCCCAGGCCACAGGAGACTGGGGCTGCACCTAGCCTGCTGGCCTCAATACCTGTGCTCCGCCCTGCACAAACTCATTGTCCAGCAAGCCACCACATCTGATTCCCGCCTCTTCCTCTCAGGCTTCAAGCTCAGCCCTCCCTCTCCCCACCTCCACTCCCGAGACACACACAGGTCTCACATATCCCTGCATGGCAGGCAGTACCAAGCCCATCTTCCAGAGGCAGAAACGGAGGCTCAGAGAGTTGGATTGACCTGCCCAAGCCAACAGTGAGGAGAGCCCCAGACTTTCGAGCCGAGACTCTGGCCCGAGCTGCCAGGCTCCACTTGGCCCCACCCGGCCCCACTCAGGGCTCACGTTGGTGCGGATCTGAGGCAGCCGGGAAAGCAGGTACAACACGCTGGAGACGGAGCCAATGACGAAGCCAATGATTTCCTGCTGCGTGAAGGGCTGCGGGCAGAAGGGGTGCTCAGTGCCTCACGTGGCCTGGAGGTGCAGAGATCCCTCCTGGGGGTGGTCCCCTGCCCCGCTTATTTTTTTTTTTTTGAGTTGGGATCTCTGTCCCTCAGGCTGGAGTGCAGTGGCATGATCACAGCTCACTGCAGCCTCGACCTGGGCTCAGGTGATCCTCCCACCTCAGCTTTCCAAGTAGCTGGGACGATAGGTTCGCCTCCATGCCTGGCTAAATTTTGTACCTTTTGTAGAGACAAGGTCTCACTATGCTGCCCTGGGCAGTCTCAAACTCCTGGGCTCAAGCGATCCTCCTGCCTCAGCCTCCCAAAGTGCTGAGATTATAGGCGTGAGCTACCACACCTGACCTCCCCCATCCCACTTACACCCACATGGCTTGCAGGGGAAAGTCCTGGGGTGAGCCAGTGCCCACCTGTCCCACCACCACACACCCCACCTCACCTTATTGCCCGGATCCACAGACAGCAGCATCCGGCCCCGGAAGACTTCCCTGGGGGCAGCCACAGGGGCAGCCACAGGCCCAGCGCTGCGCAGTATTGGTGCAGTACACACCGTCCCCATGATAAGCAAGAGCACGGAATTGATGGGGGCAGACACTGGACATGAGGCAGGAGGGAAGCTGGGTTAGACATCGGAGTGGCGGCAGACAGCCTGGGATCTGAGCTCTGGCCCTGCCCATCAGTGGCTGTGTGACCTTGGACAGGTGGCCTAACCTCTCTGAGCTTTAATTCTTCACCTGTAGACTGGTACCCTTCTCTTAGGGTTGTAAAGGTGAAAGGAGGGGGGCAGTTGGGTCAGGAGGGGGTTTCAAAAGCAGAAATACCAGTGAGACCCAGTTCCCTCCCCAAGGGCAACCACCGCATCTTGTCAGCCCTCGAGGTGACTTTGTCCACTGCCCCGCCTGGACACTGAAGGTCAGAGGTGGCCTGTGTGACTTGTCCTTGTTCTCCCAGCTCCAAGCTCAGGGTCACACACAGAGAAGGACCTGGAGCCTTGTTTGCTGAATGAGGGCTAGAGAGAACGAGCCCTCCTGTGGCCTGGTCCAGGATGTGCTCACTGCCCTCAAGCCTCTATCTTGGCCGATTAGGACTCAGGCTTTAGATAAGGCACTGGGAAGCCTTCTGAGGTTTGGTTTATCACCCAGCAATGAGAAACCTGCTTCCTCCCAAGCTTCAGGCCCTCCCAGTTGCTGGCAGAGCATCTGCCAGAGAGCGGCCACCATACTCACACAGAGAGGGACGTTTCTTGAACTTGTAGTAGAAGTACAGCGTCAGCATCAGCAGGTCTGCCAAGACGTAATACACAGCCGTGTAGGTCTGCAAGACATGCAGGAGCCCGGGCATTGGCTGCAGTCCCAGCATCCAGGACCATGCCTCAGCAGCACTCTGCCACACCCCAGCTGGGGGACCCCGACCACATCACTTCACGTCTCTGAGCCTCTGTTTCCTCATTTGGAAAGAGGGGGATCACAGTTCCTACCTAGCAGAATTACAGATCGGGTGGGCAGAAGGCTCCAGCAATGTGCCCAGCCTGGCAGGTGCGGAGGAACTGGCAGCTAGCACTACTCATCAGGGCAAAACAGGACTCCGCAGTTAGGTGATGGCTCGGGTTGGCCTGATACAGGTGCAGTTAAGCCTTTCCCATCTTGCTTGAGAAGACAACACCTTCCTGAATATGAGTCCCAGCTCTGCCTGACCACTAGAGAATGATGACATTTGGTCTCCCAAGGAAACACTGCTTGAGCGCCCCATGCCCTGACGGGATGTCGGCAACCTAGCACCCCAGCGGCCTTCTGGTTCGATGTGCTCATATTGCAGATGGGGAAACTGAGGCCCAGAGGAGGGCAGTGACTTCCCTGTAGTCACACAGTATGGCAGGCAGAGGCTCTCTAAAGCATGGGGCCCTCACAAGATGAAATGACAGGTCAGGACTGGCCAAAGAGCCTGGGCCTTTCCTCCAGCCAGCTGCCTCCAGTGCCTCTGCCACGGCTGTCCTTGGCAGCCCCTCCCTGCCCAGGGGACCAGCCCACCTGCAGAGGCAGCTGGTCAGCAAGGAAGGAGCCGATGAGGTTGCAGGAGTCTCCTCCAATCCAGCCCAGGAGGAACCACAGGGACAGGGCCTGGTCCATGTTGCCCGTCTTGTAGGCCTTGATGAACTGGCTGTGGGAGAGGAGGGTGATGTGTGCTCTGAGGCCGAGGGTTGAAGCCGTCTTAGAGAGAACACCCCCAGAGAGGACGGCCGCGGAAGAGGGAGGCAGGGGTGACAGAGGGACAGGAGGCGGCCTGGCAGCCCACCCCTCCTGCAGGTAGGATCCTCGGAGCCTTTCTAGCTTCTCCCCCAGGGGGTTCCCTTCTAACCCAAAGGATCAATGGCTGGCATCTTTCCAGAGAGCTCCACAGCATGACTCAGATTCTCTGCCACCACATCCTGGGGTCTCCAGCAGGGATCTGGGGCTTATTCAGGGTCCTGAAGTTCTGTGCCAGCCTCTGAGGACTACTCCATAGGACCCTGGGTCCTTTGGCCTATGAATAGGAGCGGGCCCTGAAAGGACAGTGGGTGGGGCGGAACCATGGGCCCAGGCTGGGCATGCCCATCTCCTGGAGCAGCTGATGATGTGACAGGTCAAACCAGCTCGACTCTTCAGAGGCAACAGAAAAGCAGGGCTGAGGAGCCTGTAACGCTCCATTACAAAGTCGTGGGCTTTTGGTCCCCTGGTTGCCTTCCCAAAGAATGTTGGTGCTAGGACCCTCTTTTTGGACCTCGAGCTCGGTCAGGATATGAGGCCAAAACTCTGTGCAAGCCCAATGCTCGCGGTGACAACGGGGTCTAGGGCATAGTTCTGAGTTCTTCACATGCGTTGGCTCGTCCTCACGGCCCCCTAGGAGGTCAAGTCTATTATGATGACCCTCCTCATTGGCAACAGAAGAAGGTGTGTCATACAGCTCAGGTTCACAGACTCCAGTCTCGCTCTTAACCATTACACATGCTGCCATTTATTGTTCAAATGCCTTTTTGACCATCTGTACTTGGAGGGAGGAAGGGAGAAAGGGAGGGAGGAAAAAGGAGGGAGGGAGGGAGGAGAAAGAAATCAACCAACCAACCCAGGGGCACCTCAACCCACCCATCTCCCAAGCCAGAAACCAAGCAACCTGGGCACTGACTGGGTCCTTCCCACTCCATCTCCCTCGGGCCCCACTCTGCTCATCTCTCTTGGTCTCCTAACCAAGCCATACTCCCCTCAAATCCATCCCCCCCTCAAGGATCTTTCTAAAACCCCATTCTGGCCCCAAACTGCCAGAGCCTCCCACCGTCTCCCACAAGGGCCCCATGCTCCAGAGCACACCTTTCAAGGCCCCCAGGATCGCCCCACCCCCACCCACAGGATCACCTTCCCTTCCTCCAGCTCTTGCCTTCGATGGCCCAGCTCCTCCTCAGGCCCAGTCACCGCCTCTACATCTTTCATGTTTCGGGAAATCCCAGTTCCTCCTCTGGGCCTTCCTTGACACGAATCCACCAGTATCTTCTCCTTCCTCCCTTGTGACCCTCCACATACCATCCCTCCTGAGCGCACGCTTCCCAAGGGTGGGGGCAGGGGATTAGCACAGCACAGGCACCGAGAAGGCCCCTAATTAAGGATTACCAAGTGGCCCTTAGGAAAGCACCTTCTAAGACGCCATGACTCAACTTGTCTCCATAAATTGCAGGAAGGTGATTCTGTGCCACCCAGGACAGGCCAAGTCCCAGGAAAAAGCAGGAAGGTGGCCGCCCTTCCCACCATCACTTGGGGCTCTCTCCAAGTCCTCTGAGCTCCCACCAGTTTATCAGCTGACCCAGGCAGGAAGGGGGAGCTTCAGGTAGTCCTGGGGAAGCTCTCACCCCTGGACAAAGAGTCTCTTGCCCTCGGCCTCCACCAGTCACCCAGACCTGTCCAGTCCACCTCCTAAGGGCCTTTCCAATTTCCCCACCATCATTGTTTGCTAGACAGCTTCCACAGCCTCCAAGGTGGCCTCCCTGCCTCCTGTCTCTCTCCCTCTGTCCCTCTGGTCCCTGCCAGATTGTCTTTTCAAGGGTGCCAGAACGGAAGGACTATATCTGTTTGGCTTACTCACTCCCCACATAGTATGGCACCTGGAATGAGCTAATTCAGTAAAAATGTCAAGCCTCTGATAAGGTACCCAGACAAATCAGTGGGGAAAGGATAATCTTTTCACACCTGGTGCTGGGACAACTGGATACTCACATGCAAAAGAATGAGGTTGAAGCCAGGCTCAGTGGCTCAGCCTGTAATGCCAGGCCTGAGCCCACGGGTTCGAGACCAGTTCAGGCAACAGCCTCGACCTGCTGGACTCAGGCGATCCTTCCGCCTCAGTCTTCCAAGTAGCTGGAACTGTAGGCACAGGCTACCATACCTAGCTTATTTTTTGATTTATTGTAGAGATGAGGTCTCGCCAACTTGCTGGGGCTGGGTGCAAACCTGTGGGCTCAGGCAATCCTCTCACCTTGGCCCCCCAAAGTGCTGGATTATAGGCATGAGCCACAGCGCCCAGCCAGGAGCAAGTTTCTTAACAAAGAACAAGCCCCTCAGCTCCTCGGTGACCCCGCCTCTCCCTGACTGACCTCCACGCCCTCTGTCCACCACACAATGCAACTGCCACCCCTGTGTCCCCACCTGGACTGCTCTCCTCCACACTCAGTCTCTGGCTAGCCCCTCTCAATTCTGACCTATCCTATAGTTCTTAGCTTAGAGGCTGGCACCTCTAGGTCCGTTCTGACTGCGGCCCCCTCCCGCCTCTGTAGACGGGGCTTGGTGGTGTCAGCAGTAATACCACCACAGATAGCTCTGGGCCCGTCTGTTTGTGGAAAGGCCCTGTGCTGGGAGTTTCACCCACAATGCCTCATGCTGTCCTCGCAGCAACCCTGTGAGCTTGGGAACAATATGCCCATTTCACAGATGAGCAAACTGAGTCACAGGGCAGTGAAGCGATGTGCTCAGGTCACAGCCAGTAGGCAGGGGAGCTCGGTGTGGACGCTCGTGACCACTGAGCACTGTGCCCTCATTTCCCAGTCACAGCAATGGCCACGCTTCATTGCATTCATTGCTGCTGTCTCCACCACCCGACTGTCAAAATCTTGCGGACAGAGTCCGTGCGTGATGCATCCCAGCGCCCTCTCCCCTACCCCATCTCTGACCAGCTGCACAACCTGGAGCAATTTACTTAACTTCTCTGGGTTTCAGTTCCCTTATCTGTAAAAACGGATGATAACTATACCCACTTCACAGGGTTGTGAGGATTCAATGAGGTTAAAAACATGCCAAGTGCTTAGAGCTGAGCCAAGTACACATTGGGCACTCAATAAACAACAGCAAAGGATACTGTCTCTGTATTAGCACTGCCCAGCACAAGGCCTGACCTGGGGAGGGTCTCAGGGTGGTCCCTCCCACGGGAGTTGGAAGTCAGTGAGTGGGGCTGGGAAAGGAAATACATGCCCTCCAGGAAGTCCCTGGGGCCACTGTCCCATCCCCACAACCCTGCCCCGACCCTCCAGACACTACTCACGGGAAAGTGGATGCAGCAAAGCAGAAAATGGAGATCAAGCCCAGGCCCACGCTGGCCTCGTCCCAGGCGTCCTGGGCACATTCACCAAACACATCCCATATCCACTGGCGGGAGCCATTGGGGCAGCTGGAGAAGTTGCCAGCGCCCAGGTTCTTCCAGACCATGACTGCGTGGGAGGGAGGGCACTGGTGCACTGAGGTGGACAAGGGTTCTCTACACGGAGGAAGAGAGCAGACCTTCAGCCTTGGGCTGCCCGGGTCCCAAGTCATGACCATTTCCTGACCCAAGCTCCTCCCAGCCTTATACCTTATTACCTGGCACTGGCCACACTCCAGAACCAGAGAAGGGTAGAGACATAGTTTTTGCCCACTGGGACACAATCAACCCCCAGAGACCCAGATCAAAAAAACACATGCCAACAGCAAACATGTGCAGGCAGAGCACAGGATCTACAGCCGGGACAGGTACATTCAGATCCAGCTTTACCTCTCACTATTTCTGCGACTTTGGGCAAGAACTCAAACTTTCTGTGCCCAGACCTTTCCATTTGTCAAGTGGGGTGATGACAGTGCGACAGTGCTGCCTCTTCATGCACTTGTTGTGTGGGTTAAATTAACTCATAAATAGGCCAGGCACGGTGGGTGACTCACACCTGTAATCCCAGCACTTTGGGAGCCCAGGGTGGGAAGACTGCTTAAACCCAGGAGTTCAAGACCAGGCTAAGCCACATACTGAGACCTCAGCTTTACAAAAAAATCAAACCTTAGCTGAGCTTGGTGGCGTACACCTATGGTCCCAGCTCTAGGGAGGCTGAGGCAGAAGGATCATCTAAGACCAGGAGGTCAAGGCTACAGTAGCTATGAGGGTGCCACTACCCTCCAGCCTGGGCAACAAAAGTAAGACTCCAACTCAAAAAAAAGAAAGGAAAAAAAAGAGCTCATAAATAAAGTACATATAACTGAGCCTCAGTGCAATCTTTAGCCCCCCCCCCCCCTTTTTTTTTGAGTTAGAGTCTCACTCTGTCACCCAGGCTGGAGTGCAGGGACACACTCACAACCACGGCAGCCTCGATCTGCTGGACTCAGGCGATCCTTTCACCTCAGCCTTCCAAGTAGCTGGAACTTCAGACGCACACTACCATGTCTGGCTTATCTTTTGATTTATTGTAGAGACGAGGTCTCACCAAGTTGCCCAGGCTGGTCTCAAACCCCTGAGCTCAGGCAATCCTCTCGCCTCAGCCTCCCAATGTGCTGGGATTACAGGCTTGAGTCACTTTGCCCAGCCTTAGCCCTAACTCTTGAACATTTAGGTCGTTTCTACTTTCTTGTTATTGCTGCAAATTCCCTGGGAGGGTCTGCTAAGGCCAGGTCCACCAAGTACATTATCTCATTTAAAGCAGGGTCAGATGAGGCATATAGAGAAGAGGGGTAGGGGACCTCCGGGGTTACACAGATGGTGGAGATCAAGCTTGGGGTCCTCGAGCCCATATTCTCCCAGGAGCTCATGGCATGTATATAGCTACAGTCAGCTATATTCTGGCTTTGTTGGTGGTGACAGTGGGGAGGTGGCTGTGGACTCCTTGCTGGTAGGCACAGCAAGGAAAGCCTATCCCAGTGCCCAGGCACCCTGGACAGTGAATAGAGCAGTCACTGCCTATGTGACAACCCCAAGTGGAGGAGAGAAGTGAGGCCTGGCTGGAGCCATCTCTACCAGTGACAATCACCGCAGCCCTGACTGCCAAGCCTTTGCCAGCTCTGTGCCAAGCACCTGCGTGCACTAATGCATCCTGTCTTCACATGGACTCTAGGAAGCAAGGACTACTGATATATCCACAAGAAATCTGAGCCAGAGTGGGGAAGTGACTTACCAAGGCTATCGAGCCAGGAAGTGAAGAAGTCAAACCCAGAACCGAGACCTAAACCCTTGCCATCTACCACACTGCCTGGTGTTTCTGTCCCTGAGCGAGGCAGAAGACTCCTGTGGTCTGAGGTGGTTGCCCAGCCAGAAAGTGGGCTTCCCCTTTTCTCCCTGTGCTCAGAGGGGGCTTCCTCATCCAGGCATAGACTCTCTCCAACCCCCTCATCTCCCACTTGTGACAGGAGGCCCAGGCCGTTCCCTGGCTAGACCCATGGGACTGCTGAGGTCACAGCCACCAGAGAGGGTGAGAAAGCGAGTCAGCGCCTTTTCTCAGGAAGCTGCAGCCTCTTGGCACTGATGTGACTAGCCGTGGGCGGAGGCCCTGGAGCTGGGGACAAGGGCACGCCAGGTCATTGTCTGCCCAGCTCACTGTGCTATCTCCAGGGACCAGCACAGGGTGTCTTGGTGGTCCACCCTGAGGAGTTGGAAGTGTTCACCTGATCAGGTGTTGGAAGTGTTCACCTGATGCCCTGCCACAGGCACCTGGAAGGCTGTCCCAAATTAACAAACAGTTCAGGTGAGAGCTGTACCTTTGCAATGCCAAGGGTTTTTCAAATCCAGCCCTTTTGTCCCAGTTGCCACCACCTGGCCTGCACTGCTCCCTTGTAGATTGTGAACATGCCACTGCAGTTCACCACGTTTGTGCACCGTCATCCTATGACTCCCTGGCAAGGTAGGGCATATTGCCCCCATTTGACAGATGAGGTTGAGTGACCTTGGAAGTGAGTTAACCAACCTGTGCCTGTCTGTAAAATGGGGCTGATGACCCTCACTCACTTCTTGGGCATCTGTCCTGACTAAATGCACATAAAGCTTAGCTTATTGCCTAGCTTTTTTTTTTTTTTTTTTTTTTTTTTTGAGTCAGGGTCTTACTCTGTCACTCAGACTGGAGTGCAGTGACACAATCACAACTCCCTGCAGCCTTGACCTCCTGGGCTCAGGTGATTCTTCCAACTCAGCTTTCTGAGTAGCTAGGACTATAGCTACCACACTCAGCTAATTTTTTGATTTTTTTTTTTTGTAGGACAAGGACTTGGTATGTTGCCCAGGCTGGTCAGTACCCGACTTAATACAAGACAGTGACTGTTTTGAGGATGGGAGTCCAGCATCTCAGCCACCTCACGGAAGGAAATTAGGTGGGAACTGCCCAGTGTGTGTGAAGGTGGGGTGGGAGTGTCTTGAGGAAGTTACCTTGTTTTACGAGCCCAGGACACTGGATGGGTGGTCCCCTGACCTTGGATAGGGCCCATGTATAGATTGGAGCTCAGGACAGTCTAAGACGCACCTGAGCCCTGGACAGAAGAGCCTTCCTCTGAGGGCCACCGTGCATAGGTTTTCTGTCATCTAGAAGCCAGGCATTGGCCCATCCCCTGTTCAGACAGCACTGAGCAAATGGATACCCAGTGTTGCAAAAAAGCTTGACCCATCTCTGGGGATGGCAAGGACCCCAGCAAGAGTTCCCTGGAATCACTCTTGGAAGATATATGTTTAAAATTCAGGGTCAGCTAAGTGTGGTGGTTTATGCCTATAATCCCAGCACTTTGGAAAGCAGAGGTGAGAGAGTTGCCTGAGCCCAGGTGTTCGAGACCAGCCTGGACAACTTGGCAAGACCTTGTCTCTACAATAAATCAAAAATTAGCCAGGCGTGGTGGCGAGTGGCTGTAGTTCCAGTTACTTGGAAGGCTGAGGCAGAAGAACCGCCTGAGTCCAGCAGCTCGAGGCTGTGGTGGCTGTAAGCATGCCACTGCATTCCAGCCTGGGTGACAGAGTGAGACTCCAACTCAAATAAATAAATAAATAAAATTCAGGGTCAGTGGATCTGGACTGCGGCTCAGAAATTCTGGGTGTAAAAAGCTCCCCCAGTGACTGGTGCATGCAATGCACATTGAGAAAGGCTGAACTGGAGACAGCTTCTCCCACCCTACCAGCCTCCTCTTCCGGATCCCCTGTTGAGTCCAAATTCCCTGACTCAACAGGGAATTTGGACCTCATTCTGTAGATAAAAGTGGACACATGGTCTGCCTTCCCACCAAGGCAGACCACGTATCCACTTTTGTCTACAGAATGAGGTCCAAATTCCCTGAGGCAAGACCTCAAATTCTTCCAGGAACTGCCCACCCAACCTTATCTCCTGCTACCCAAGGGGTCATTTCTGGCCTCTGGGCTTCCACACATACTGTCTCTCCCACTAGGAGCGTCCTTCTTTCCCTCAAGGGCCTGGTAAAAGACACAAAGACTCACTTCTAAACTATCCTCTCAAAGAGGTCTAGCAAGAGCCAGCTGGACAAGCCCTCCCACCTCGTCCCGAAGGCTACCATAGTGCTTACAACCAGTGCTCTTAAAATGCACTCCCGAACTCGAATCAGGCACTCTTATTCTTAGGGTTTAGACACACCAGTTGCACAGTAGAGGTTCAGAAAATAGTGTGTGAGAGAGAGGTAGGGAGGAGAGAGTGAAGAAGAGAAAGGAAGCAGGAGAAAGGAAAAAGAGAAAGATAAGGGAAGAGAGAAAGAAAGAGAAAGGAGGAAAGAAAGAAGAAAATTCTCAAAAAGCTGTGGGCTCAACTAGCCTAGGGCTGAGAAGTAAAGTGCCCTGTAACTGACCTGCCCGATGCCTACTAGTCTGGAACTCCTAGGCAAGTGATGAGTCTCAGAGTTCTCATCTGTAAAGTGGGAGAAGATGGGAGCACCCACCTCCTGGGCTGACTGCAGAGTTTTGTGAGACTGACTATCCAGGCCAGGAGATTACAATGGTGCCTGGCAGGCGGTAAACACTCAAAGCTGACAAGGAAGGCTATTATTCTGCGCTCTCTGTAGGCCCCACGGGGTCGGGCACACAGGAACCTTCAGCAAGTGTTGAACGGACACGATCTGTCACCCTGGCCCGCCCTCGCACTTCCAGGCCCAGGCTCCTCATGCACACAGTACGCACGGTGTGGGAGAGGGCAATCTGGGACCCCTCCCTGCACACCTGGGTTGAATAGGGAGGGAGGAGCGTCCCGGCCTGGGGATACTTCCCCCTCCAGGCCTCCGGGTCCTTGGCCACACTCCTTCTGCTGACTCAGTCCAGGGCAGGTCGCCTGTTTGAGGGATAATGGCAGGGAAGCCGCTGGGGCCAGCGCCGCGAGGCCCCTCGCCCGGCCTGCCCTGGGGAAAACAAAGCCGCGGGACCAGGAGAGGAAAAGGGGAGCCGGGTCCGAACCCCGGCGAGGTCAACCCGAGAGGCTGTGCTGGTCGCCCTAGAAGCAGGGGAAGACCGGGGCTTGGGACCCGAGGATCCCTCGCCGCCAGGAGGTTCCAGGAGCCCGGGACGGCCCAGGGGCTAGAAGAGGGTGTTGGGAGAGTGTTGGAAAGATGTGGTAGGAAAGCCCCAGGAGTTCCGACCCCAGCCCTGGGGTTGGCCACCAGCCCCCGAGCCGGCTCACCACCTCAAGATCCGCCGCCAGAGCCGGGGTTCTGGGTTCAGGCCCCGCCTGGTCAGCTGATTCGTCGCCGCGGCCCCGCCTCTTATACCGCGCACTTGGCAGACGAACCCTGGAGGCGCCGCGAGTGTGCGCCGAACTGCGGCGCGCGCCTTGGC